GTTGTGAGTCTTAAAATCAGTAGCTCCCTACTGAAATGAAGCGATTAAATAATAGATGAGCATTAAAATATATCTTTTCTTCTAGCCTGAAACTTTTGAGCATCTTTTTATCAAGCACCCCGAAGCGATGTCATTTGAGCCTCTTCTTCTGGAACCAGAAATAGTGCTGCAAGACATCAGCGTTACTAAAGCCTCGAAAAAAGAAGACGCACAAGATTTTTTAGTCCTGGACTCAATGTTTACAAAACCTGAAGACTCCGAACGTGACTCTGCTTGCTCCAGCAGCCATTTCAACAGCAGCAGCTTCTCCGAGAGCTCCCGCAGTGACCGAACGGGTGGGGAAACGTCGAGGCAGTCCGATGTGAAATACGCTACTGTTGTTGGTGGCTCCAGCTCGAGCGGGCTTTACGAACAGGAGGAAAAGCTCAGAAGTTGTTTTGAGAGATGCTGCTTAGCCCAAGAGTCCTTAGTCCCGGGAGCCTTCTCCCGTCGCTCCTGGGAGGTGGGGAACGGGGCGTTCCTCATCCTGCCTGAGCTGCCTGGCAGCCAGCCTGCCAAGACTCTTTCCCTCTCCCTTATTTCTTCAGAAGGATTTTCAGAGCCTTCGGATCAGGACGACGCTTTCCCAGACGGAGACAGTCCTGAACGCAGCCTCTGTTACCTTGGGGTAGCGTCCCTGGAGGAAAGAGACAATGACATTTTTTTAACAGCAAGTTCCGGGGTGATGTGTCAGTTCCATACAGCCGATCTACCTCCAGACGGGGGGCTACTTCAGCACACGCCCCCTGATTTCAGTGCGTTTATCCGCAGCAGCCTTAGGTACAAAGCCGTTGTGCCCTACGTGCCGCAGTTTCAGCCCGCTGCTGCCAAGGTGCAGGAGACCACGGAGAAAAACTCTTAAGTCATCACACCATAATCCAGTGCTCTTAAGGGGTTTTTAGGTGTTGATCTGTTCCCCTGTTTTTCCCTCTCCTGAGGGAACGTTTTGAAGGTGGGTGACTGGTTCTATATTTGAGCGCCAGGATTTTAGCAGGAAGAAATTGCATTTCTTGACCTAATTTTCAAGCATGGGGCCTTTCTTTAGAGGTCCGAGTGTGTTCCAGTTAGCCTCTGGTGCCAGATTACCCATCGCTGATGCTCCTTCGGTGTGTCTGAGCACCCCCATGAAAAACTGCACTTGAAATTGGACTCGGTACCATACAGGTAGCTCTGTGCTGGGCTGTGCTCGTGGCACAGCCCCCAGCAGCTCTACAAGCCCTCATAGCCACAGCTGGTGGCCACCGCTGTGCTCATCTGTGCTGACAAGAGACTCTTCCTCCAGCTGGGGTGAGGTAGAGGAGTTCGGGGCTTTTCCCGGCCTTGGTGTGGAGATTTCCACACACTCCTAGAGGGCTGGGGAGGATTCAGGCAGCGCACACCCGGCGAGTGCAGCTCCTTTCTCACGCCTGTAGGTTGTAGGGATCGTGTTTCAGCTGCCTCTTGTCCAACAGGACAGTGTTTCCTGCAGGGGGGAGCGCGGGGTGTTTGCTGGCAGCACAAACCACCCCCCAACAGCTCTTCTCACCCTTACGGAGCAAAACATCTCTTCAAACATGTCTTGAATTCGGTCTTGCTTTAAAAGGGTTTGCCTGGGGACTGCGCAGGCAAGGTAGAAAGGAGTGGCCTAATACGTAGATTGCAATCTGTACGTGTGTGGTGGTTTTGGAGTAAAAAATGTTTGAATGTGTCATTGTGCTGAGGGTGATTTGGGACTCCCAGTGCTACGGCGTTGACGTGACTCAGGACCGCAGGGTTACAGGCCGTGGGCACCCACAGGAACCGGTGGTCAGGGGACACGCTCTGCTAATCCCAGATATATCTGAGGCCTTTTTTTCTCCAAAATCCTGATGTATTTCTTGCTTAGCTGACATCTGTGTTAAACTGAGCCTGTCAACACACAGGTGGTCCATGTGGAAGAGCCATCGGAACGCTCTGTTTCAGTGGTTGAAAGGGAGGCCCTGGCCAGCGATGGCAAGTTTGTGGCTGCTGCTACGGGGTCTCTTTTAAAGTACATTGAAAATATTTATCAGTGGCATCAAAGACCTGTAAAGAAACCTGAGAGGCCAGAGACGCGTACTGCAAGAAGAATCAACGTTAATTGTGGGTGAAATGATGTCTTTGGAAGTAAAAATGCCACATTTTTGTTGTTGAAGATGAGATTCTAGTACAAACGATGGGGCCGCGAAGCTGACAGCTCTTCCAGCCCCCTTCCTAAGAATCCAGAGTGGAAAAGCAGAGATTTGATCCGAGGATGCTCTAGTTTTGCTCCTCGGGCACTGGCCTGTGGGCATGGGCCTGGAGAAGCCAGTTTGCCCTCACAACCCCAGCTGAAAAGCTTCAGCTGGGGAGGAAAATTAGATCTTGCATCTCAGCTGTGTTTTCTGGGACAAGCAGGTAAAGAAACCCACACTTACTTGCAAGCCAGATATATTTTTTCTACTTCATAGTATTTTTGTATATGTGCCTTTTCAAAGAGCTATTTTGAGGAGCTAAGAAAGATGAATATATTGTGTATTTCACAGGTAAATTTATGTAAAATTTATATAGGCAGTTAAAAGGGCAAAACCCAGCAACAGTAATAAATGGTAGGAGAGGTGTGGAAAGACTTCAGTAATTGGTAAGAAATCCTATGGAGCAAAAGGGACCAAAGCAAGTATAGATCTGCACTTTGAACTTAAGCCAAGCTTTACAAAAAAACCCCACTGTGTTTTCTCAAACAAGCTGCCAACCTGGCTCTTGCTGGGGGTCTCTGTTTCTGGATGTTGAATATGACACAAATCTGATGTTTCAAAAATATCGTGTCGGGG